TCGAAGCCCGAAGGAAAACCTGAGGTAGACTGTGAAACAACTGAAGAACACGGAGTCCCTCCCAAACGGAAAAGGTTCCTTCTTCAGCGCCCCGTCTGTAGCCGGTGGGGCCGGACTCCTGCCTGCATGGTGGTCCTGCCACGGGCTCAAGACCAAAGAGGGCCGGTCTGGAGGGTTTCTCCGAAGGGCTTAGGCGACCCCCCCTCCTCCTCCTCCTCCTCCTCCTCCTCCTCCTCCTCCTCCTCCTCCTCCTGCTCCTGCTCCTGCTCCTCCTCATCATCCTCCTCCTCCTCCTGCTCCTCCTCCTCCTCCTCCTCCTCCTCCTCCTCCGCCACAAGATCGCCCACGAGGCCTCGAAGATGGTCCCATGACGGCCCAAAAAGCCCCCAAGACTTCCCCAAGAGGGCCCCAAGACGGCCCAAGAGGCGTCCAAGACGCCCAAGATGGCCCGCCGGCCACTCGGAAAGCTGTATGAGTTGTTGTCTCTATTGGTTTTCCCGCGCAAGACGAACCCAAGACGGCCCCCAACACGGCCAAGATGACCTCCAAGAGGGGCGCGATTCCCCCGAGAGGTTCCAAACCTGTCTCGAAGACGGCCCAATATACATATGTGACGGCTCCAAATGGGCCCAAGATGGCACAAGACGGCCCGAGAGGCCTCAAACAGGCCTCCAGGAGAACCTCCGGGAAGCCAATATCGTTGATTATCCTTAGGTGTTTCAATTATTTAGCGTTCTCGCATGTTCGGGCTTCCGACGCTCAAAGACGGCCCCCTAGGCCCCCAAGACCGCCCCAAGACGACCCAAGAGGCACCCAAGAGGCCTGCAAGACGGCCCCAAGACGGCCCAGGAGGCCCCCAAGACCGCCCCAAGACAGCCCCCAGGCCTCCAAGATGGCCCTCTAGCGCCCGAACTTGGACACACGACTGCCAGAGAGTGCCCCAAGACGGACCCCGAAGGCAAAGAGGCCCTCAAAAGGCTCACACGAAGCCCCCAGGAGACCCCAGAAGGGCCTCAAGAGGTCTCCTCTGCGTCCTCCTCCTCCTCCTCCTCCTCCTCCTCGTCCTCCTCCTACTCCTCGTCCTCCTTCTCCTTTCTCTCCACCTTTCTCTCTCTCCGATGGGTACCCCCAATGGGTTCCAAAACGGCTGGGGAACACATGATCCGATAGCTTGGCCTGACTTCGGTCCGACGTTTGGCCGCATGGGTGCTTCCAGAAGGCCAGGGGGCGGCGGTGATTCGCCGCAGGCGTCTTCGATCGGGCAACCCCTCTGCCTGTCACAGGGGCTGTCGGCGCGCCTGACATACCAACTGTGTTGAAACCTTCCAGCAGGTTCCAAGTGGGTCTCGGCCGAACCAGCAAGCCCTGAAGGTCTTGAAGCTCCTCGAAAGGTCTTACGCGCTACACGAGTGCAGGAGAAGCCCCGTTGGCGCCCAGTGCAACTCCCACCTCCGTCCTCTCGAACAGACCCTACCACCCCGCAAGCAATCCAAGCGTGTGATGCTTCAGAACCTCCTCCTTCGTTCGCCTCGTGATCCCCGCCCTCCTCCGAGAGCAGCGGCAAGGTTGCTCGGACAGAAAAGGGCAGGCTGGCCTTGCCCTGCCGGAGGGTCTTCAGCGTGGTCTTGTAGCCTCCAACACCCCGTCTCGGAGCGCGAGGGAGGAGAAGCGAGAAGGACGAGGAGAAGGCTCAGCAACTGCAGGCTGAGAAAGATGGCGAGCGCGAGGATGATGGTGAGGACAAGGAGGATGAGGAGGCAAAGGAAGAGGTAAAAAGAGGAAGATGCAAGAGATGCAGAGTAGGCGTCCTATCCCTCTCCCCATAGTCTCCCGTTCTGCCCTGGTTGCGTCTCATCAGCATCAACAACAACGATATCAGCGGCATAAGCATAATCTGCGTCGTCGTCCTCATCACGAACATCACCACAACAGCCAGCATCGCCCGAATCTGATTAGTTAGCCTTACCATCATCATCAGCATAACGACCTTCAACATCAGTATCATCGGCAGCAGCATCAGCATCAGCATCAGCATCGCAATCGCTATCATCATCGTCATCATCATCAGCAGCATCGTCATCACCATCATCATCATCATCATCATCATCATCATGATCAGCATCCTCATCACCATGAGCATCATCGTAAGCAACACCATCATCACCGTCGTCGTCGTCGGCATCGTCACGTCATCTTCATCGTCATCAGCATCATCGCCATCATCGTCATCAGCGCCTACAGCATCATAATCATCATCACCACCATCCTCATCATCATCATCGTCATCATCATCATTATCATCGCCAGTATCGAAATGATCATCCTCACCACCATCTTCATCATCGTCATCATCGTCGTCATCATCAGTATCGTTATCACCACCACCATCACCGTCATCATCATCAGCCCTCAGATTCATCATTGTGTTCATCGTCATCATCATCATCATCAGCATCATCGTCAACAGCAGCGTCGTTGCCATCATCAGTATCATTGCCGTCATCATCAGCATCGTCGTCGTCATCATCATCGTCATCGTCCTCGTCATTATCACCATCATCACAATCATCATTACATCATCACACTAATCAGCATAATTCGCATCATCAGTAGCAGCATCACCATCAACCACAAATCCGCCGACCCTGTCGGCGTGTGGAAGAGGCTGTTCCGTTTGACTCGTCGTTGTCGTCGTCGTCGTCGCGATCGTTGTCGTCGTCGTCGTCGTCGCCTTCGCCGCTCGCTTCCCCCCGTTTCCCTTGGCCCGTCGCCGTTCCCCCCACTTTCACCGGGTTCTCCTCCTCGAGCGCGCCAGCCACAGCGAAATTGAGCACCGCTGTAGTTGAGTCGAAGGGAAGCCCCTTCCCTTTGATCCCTTCCCCGCCGGGGGGGGGGGGGGCGGTCCCGGGGTGAGGTCCCGGAGGAGCGTCCTGGGGGGGTCCCGGGGGAGGGGTCCTGGGGGGGGTCCCGGGGCAGATACGACTCCCCCTCGGGCGGTTAGGCGGCCAAGAAAAGCCGCAGGACGCGGCAAAACTGCTCCAAGATGCCCCCAAGACGGTCCTCGAGGGCCCCGAATCGCCAAAGTATCGATCCAACTCGCCAAAGTAGCCTCCTGACGGCTCAAAAGGTTTCCAAAACGCCCCAAGAGGCCTCCAAGAGGACTTCCAAGAGGGTCCCAAGGGGCAAAAATCATTGATTCCCGGAATTTCTTGAAAGATTTCGGCATTCTCGCCTTGTCAGCTTCCCGACGCTCCAAGACAGGCCAAGAAACCCCCAAGACCGCCCCAAGATGGCCCAAGAGGCCTCCAAGAGAGCCCCAAAACGACCCAAGAGGGCCCCAAGATCGACCAAGAGGCCTCCAAGACAGCCGAAGAGGCCCCCAAGACGGCTCCAAGGAGGAGCCCAGACGGGGGACCCGAACGGACACTTCGAGCCCCCAGCCTGAGAAGCTCTCAGGAGGTACCCAGAGGCCCCTAAGAAGCCCCCCAAGAAGCCCCAAGAAGCCCCCAAGAGGCCCCACCGAGACTTCCAAGCGGCCCCCAAGAGCTTCCCAAGAGGCCCCAAAACTACCCCCAAGAGGCCCCCCAGAGCGCTGGTCGTCGTCGTCGTCGCCATTCAGGGTCGGCGGCACGGGCCGTAAGGCCTTCGCAATAATCGTAATCACCATCATCAAAGACATCATCATCATCATCATCATCATCATCATCATCATCATCATCATCATCATCATCATCATCATCATCATCATCATCATCATCATCAGCAGCAGCAGCAGCAGCATCATCATCATCATCATCATCATCATCATCATCATCATCATCATCATCATCATCATCAGCATCATCATCATCATCATCATCATCATCATCATCATCATCATCATCATCATCATCATCATCATCATAATCATCATCATCATCATCATCATCATGATCAGCATCATCATCATCATCATCATCATCATCATCATCATCATCATCATCCTTATCATCATCATCATCATCATCATCATCATCATCATCATCATCATCATCATCGTCAGCATCATCATCATCATCAGCATCATCATCATCACCATCAGCAGCAGCATCATCAGCATCAGCATCAGCATCATCATCAGCATCATCATCATTACCATCATCGGCATCATCATCATCATCATCATCATCATCTTCATCATCATAATCAGCATCATCATCACCACCACCACCATCATCATCATCATCATCATCATCAGCATCAGCGTCATCGTCATCAATTTCCTGCTACTCTCTTTGATTCAATTATTCCTCATTACTCACTCCGCTGCTTGTCTCCCTGCTATCTGTTCTCTGCACTGCACCGCCATCGTGCTACCATGAGGAACGTCATAAGAATCACGACGAGGCTTCTTGTGGACACGGCACGCCTCGGCCACGAACAAGTCCTCCGATCTAGCTTTAAGGAACGGCAGGAAAACCATTGCCCCTCCGAAATTCAAGTTGTCCTTGCTTCTGCGACTTGACTGTACTGTGCTCTGCGGAAGAGTGTGTCGATTCGATGTCACGCTCCCTAGCAACAAGACGCGGCTCCAGCGCGTTTTGGGGCTCTATCGCCTGCCTGAGCGGGCAGCTCTAGGCCGAACCTCGTGACGAGTTGGACAATGCCGCGCCGTTCTTCGCACAGGCCATCAACTGCTCTCCGATCCCTGCTCCCTCCCTCCCAACCTCTCAGTGACCCACTGACGACCGTACTGTTCCGAATGTCCAAAATCCTTTCTGACCTCTAGAGAAAACGGCGCAGGGCCCAGCCAGTACTGCTTGTGAGGGGGTGCCTGGGAAGACCACCGCGCGGTGCCAGCTAGAACAACCATGCTTCAGCAATGCGACAGTTTGTAGTCACAACCTGTCATCCCGTTTACCCACTCCTCTTCTGGTCCAACCCCTTTCTCGCTCGCCCTGCCCACCGAGGCTGTACTTGCCGCTCTTCATGACCAGCTGGATACGGCTGTTGATGGAGTCCTGATTGGAGGGGGCTCCGGCCGCCATGTAGGTATCGATAGCACCGATCCGCAAGGCTTCTTTGGGCCAGCTAAGACATCGGCGACCTTCCTCGTTGTCCAACGCCTTACTTCGTAGCGACAAGAACGCGAATTGACCACCAAGAGTGACAGCAGGGCAAACCACGCGTTTCTCCTGAGCCGTCTTTCCCGTTCATGATCCCGAATAATTCACACTCTGCACAGAAAACACATAGAAATGTGAACCTTTGTCAAAATACGGCCCCCACTTTTAACACCGCGCGAATTCGTTTACAAAGCTTTCAGCAATTACATTGAAGGGGTTATGCTCAAAATGATGTTTTCGTCTCAGCGAGCGCCGCGCACATTCGCGTGACGATCTTCCAACAACCAAACATGGATGATGGACTGTCTGTATGGTCCTCGCCTTTACGCCGCGCACGTTAGTCTCAAAAGGCCCCGGCAAACACACATATGGAGGGCGGCTCCGTTCGAAGATGTAGTGTTCCCCAAAAGGCCGCGCACACTCGGGGTGCCAACTTCCTGCCGCTGCATGGATGGAGGGCGATCCTTTTCACCGTAAACCGCTTGTTTGGGATTTTTGAAGGGGCCCCAGGACACACAAATAAATATACAAAAAAAATCCCCATAGTTTCCCATATGTTCTGGGTTTCTGTCTCCCCCCCCACTTCCCATAGTTTCCCATATTCTCTAGGGAATCGACGATGAATTGTGTCTGTGTTTTTTCCTCTCCTGAATTTTTCCGGCCCGAACGAAAAAACAAATGATCGCGTGCAACACCTACGCGGATGGACGGCAGCTCCTTTTCAAACCGGGGCCCTCGCTCGACGATTCTACCCCACCGCGGCGGAAGTTGATGCCGTTTGGTAGACTGCTGGAATCTCAGATCCGTCTGAATACTTGTAATGTGCGCAAGTGGTTCCTGCTGTCTCGCGGAGTAGCTCGACACCCATGGAGCAATAGCGTTGTTACCTCAAGACGAGATCGGATAATTCTCGGCTCCGTCGGTTATGACAGGTGGGGCGGACCGCGTGTCCGCGCGGAGTAATGCATACTCGCTCCTTTCCGCCATTTGTCAATCATATTGCAAGCAAGCTGCAAGAAAGTTGTCACGACCACGGGGGGACGCGCGCCCAATCTCGTTCCTCACGGGTCCATTTGCAGCCGACGGCTCTGGCGGCGAGCGCAATTCGATGACGCGATATGATTACGACGATGATGACAAATTCGTTTGGATTACCCATCACTCCCCAGCGTTTCCGCAAGCGCCGTGGCCTTCGGAGCCACGCGAACGAGGCCGCGCCGAGCCGTTCAAGCCGTGGCCGCCACTGTCGTAATTAACAGCTCGCGTCGTACATATCGGAGCCGGGCCTCTGGTCGCCATGCCCGTCGTAGCCGCTACGGTCGTTGCCGCGCGCGTCGCGGCCGAACCGATCACGGCCCCGCCTGCAGTTCCCACGCAATTCGTTGACTACGCCATGATCGCGTGACACCGCCAACCGTGAAAAATCGGCCCCAAATGTTTCCTCGTTTGCGGCATCGCGTCGAAGCCGATTGAGCGCGAGAGCTGGAAGCACAAGCTCTCGAAAACAAGCAGTTCAACGTTGCGCCGTGGATGACAAAGTGCGGGCGCGCGGGCAAGACGCCGCGCCCTCGCGCAACGGCGAACTCGAGCGGCAACGGCGCTCGCTCACCCCGTCGCCACGTTCTGGGGCGCGGGCCGAACGCGCAATCGAGCGCCGCGCTCATCGCACAGCGTCGGCCAGGCTCGGGCCCAACTTGCAGCGCGGGCAGAAGGCGGGTGCCAGCGCGAGGCAATTGGAAGACGCGGGAGGAAGGGCAACAAATGAGGCTATGAAGAAGCGGGGCGGAGACCCCCCCTCCCCCCCCTCCTCCTCTCGCGCCCCCACCTGCCAAGAGAGCCTGCCCCTGCCCTCTTCGCGCCGCGCTGGGCGCGACATCCAACGCCGCGGCCTCGCAGCGAAAGTCCCCGCGGCCCTCTGCGCCGAAGATAATCTAGAGCTGCGCCCTAAACTCCACTCTGCACCCCTGGGGCCCCTGACGGGAGTGGTTACCAATACCTCTCCCCCGTAAATCGCACCCATGGCTACCACGCGCGCAGATGTCACAGGGCTCAGGCTTCGCGCGTCGGCCATTCGACGGAAGGCGCCGCTCGGCGCCGCCGCGCGCGGCGGCGCACGCGCTGGTCTTGCCCGATGGACGCGCATATGACGAACATACCAAAAACGCGCGTTAATTCAAAAACGGGGCGCTAGACTGGAATCCGGCGCCCCCAGCCAAGACGGCGACTTCTGCGTCGTCGCAATGGGGGGCCCGCCGCGAAGGCGCGCGCGGGCGCCGCGGTTGACGCGCGCCGCCCGCGCGCGCGTGGGCCACCCGAAATCCGATCGGCGACCGCTGCGGGATCGCTTTAGTTCCCACGGGACTACGGCGACTTGCTTAAAGCAGCAATGACGACCCCTCCGCGCAGAGTTCCTCCGCGAAGCGCGCCGCGCACGCGGCTGCGCGCGCGGCGGTTTCGCGCGGCGGGCGCGCATGCTGGGCGCGCAACACAAGTCGATGCTCAGAAAAGTCAAATTGCACGCGCCGCGCCAACACGGTGACATGCGCGCGTTCACAAAAGAGAACGCGCCGCGCAGCCCCGCGCGCGCACGCCGCGGGGGGCGCGCGTCGCCCGCGCGCGCGCGGGTCACCCGAAATCTGCTCGGAATTTACTGCGGATCCCCTTTAGTTCCCAGAGCAGCACGGCGGCTGTCTGCACGCGCGAGTTCCGAGCCCCCCACGCACTTCCCTCCACGCAGACGCCCCGCCGCGCCCGCAGTGGCGCGCGCGACGGTCTCGCGCGTTGGGCGCACATGACACCTCCGCGCAGGCGCGAGCGCGCCGCGGATGACAGGGGTCAGCCGCGCGCGCGGGCCACCCCAGATCCGCTCGGCGACCGGTAAGAGCGCGCCTTAATTTTCATGCCACCAAGGCACCTCTTTCACTGCGAAGAGAATGGTCAATCCATGCAGGGCGCGCCGCCAAAACGCGCCGAGGGCGACAAGATTCGGCTCCGGCGCCGCCCCCGAGCGCCCGCGAAGTCGCGCCCGACTTCACAAGAGCGGCGACAAAGCCGAATTCAGCGCCGAAGCGGCGGCCGCCCAATCTGAATTTCAGGACGGGCCAATCTGAGATTCAGACAGGGCCAATCTACATCTCAGAAGAGGCCGATCTGACTTTGAGGGAGGACCAATCGGAGTACGTCTGGCGCGGAAGTCAAGCAGGCAGCCTCGGCAACGCCCCCGCGGCGGGCAAACTAAAATTCAGAGAAGCCCAATCTGAATTCCAGAAGGGGCCAATCTGAAACTCAGACGCGGGGGCCGCCGCCCTAAAGCAACTCCGCCCAGCGCCCGCGAGCCTCCCGGGCGCCCCGGCGTCTGCGGGGCCCCCCCGGGCGCCGCGGGCCCGCAATCCTGCCGGGGCGCGCGGAGTCCTGGAACCCCGCCGCTGCCCTTGGATTCGGTTTGGACTCGCATTCGGCGCAGGATGGGGCTCGCAGTCAGCAAGGGCAGGCGGGCGCGCGCACTGCGCCAACGCCCCCTGTCCGGAGCAAGAGGTCGCATTTGGAGCGCGCAGTACTCCTGGCCCACAGCCCGCGCCGCCCCCGGCCCCGACGCGCCCGGCGCCCGGGGCCACCGCCGGCCGCTACCTGGCGCCCGGGAGGCCCTGGGGCGCCCCGCAGAGTGCCCAAGACGCCCCAGAGAGGGCCCCAAGAAGGCCTGACTGGCTCCCAGGAGTCTGCCAGCACGACCCAGGAGGCCACCCACGCGGCTCAAATACTTCGCTGCTCTCCCCGAAAAACCGAAGGCGCGAACATGCGAGCACAATTGCATTGCATCAGATGTTTGGCCGCTTGTCGCTTCTGAAGCAACTCCCAAAAGAGCCAGGATCGCCCTCCGCGCGTTTCCAACCGCCCCCCAAAACGGCCCAGAACGCCCGCAGCGCGCTTCCAGGAGGCCCCGGGGACAGCCCCAGCGGCCCAGGGCAATCCAAGAGGCGCCCGACAGGCATCCGCAAGGGCCCGCGTCGCTCTCCACACAGCCCAGGGCGTTCCCAGGATTTGGACGCCCGAAATGGGTACCGAACAAATGGGTACAATGCCCAAGTCCCAAGACAACAGCGGCCGCTGTTGGGCAGGCGGCCCTCTGTCTCAAATGGGCACAGGCCGCGGCGGCGTGGGCAGCAAATCCTGTCCAAAATTATCAGGAACTGCAGTTGGGCATAGTACCCATTCTTTCAGCACCCATTTCGGGCGTCCAGACAGGAGGCCCCCGCGTCGGCCTGAGCAGCTCCAAAGAAGCCCCCGCTCGGCCCGCAGCTCAACTACGCCCTAGACATCCCAAGAGGCCCCAGACGACGGCGCCGGGAGGGACTAGCGGCGCCCGAGGGGTGCCCTTTGAGACGGCCACGCGAAGCGCGAGCTCCGCGCCGAGGGCAAACGCCTCGGGCACGTGGACGAGGTCGATCGCCCAGGCCGCGCCGCCTCCTCGCCCTCGCCCCCCCCTCCCCTCCTGCCTCCTTCCCTCTCCTCTGTCCTCCATCCTTCCTCGTCGTCGTCGCCCCCCTCCTCCTGCCGCCCCCTCCCCCGCGTCGACCCCCCCCCCAGCCGCCCCCCCCCCCGCCCCTCGAAACCTCGAGGGAATCGGCCGTGCCGGACTGGAACATGCGACGCCCTGCCCGGTCACTTCACATTTGACTGCGCGTGGAAACAAAATCACAACGCATCGGGCGGGGCGACTAAGAGCGAGGCCCAGCAACGGATACTCGATACACAGGGAACGGGATGGGCCAGTGAAATTGACAACGCACAGAAGACCCGGTCTGGAATGGGAACGCGAAGGAGAAATGGGAGGGCCCCCCAGACACAACAAAAACAAGCGCGAAGCAGATCAAATAATCACGCACCGCGCAACCGCG